CAGCACTCTAGGTGTCTAGTCGGGAGGTACCGGATTCGAATATAGGCTGTGGTATTGGCTATCGTGACTGCATTTTTGCTGTTGGGGTTTATTTCACGACGCTCTAAGTATCTCGGATTTATAGCGTCGAATAACTGGCAGATAGAAACCAGTGAATTAAAGCCAAGAGCATCACCGCTACACGAAACAGATCGATGAGCTCATGCTTTGTCTGAGCCGAATACAAGCCTCAAAGAGGCTGTGTCTGCTGCCTTTATGATCTTCACCCGCGGACTATACAATTTCACATGCTCTCATTTGATACACTATAAACCTCTGCAAATTAAGGAACGTCGTTAAACAGCAGGAGGGAAAATGAATCCTTCGCGAAATTTGAGGTCTAACGGCGGTGCTAATACAGATTACTGTGCGTCTTTGGTTCGAAATTAATGCATTAAATGATGGTCCTGTCAGTTTCTCCGCATTTTTAAACTTGAAGACCGTTGGACGGTCTTTGATGAAATTTGGTATGGGCTTTGTGCCACACGCACGTTCTAATTTCCTGCAATCAGCAATACGGACATAACAGACGAACGAAATCCTAGGTGAGCTCGAGACTAGTGAAACATAATATAGGGTCTTAAAACTGCTGTGACAAAACGACTTAGGCAAACGGCTCGATAAACAAGCGAGACATTGCTAGGCAACGCGGTGTTTTCTATGTGGTCAGTGTTGAGGATATATAATCAGACCATCGATAAAGGCCGACTGACCGTCGGTCTTAACATAAATTTGACTTTGAAATGATCTGCGTTGCAAAGCCTGGACAGGTAGAGGACTTGTTTATAGTGCACAAGGAAGACTTTTCAACAACATGATACTTGTGTGATACAATACGTACACTTGACGAAGGTGAAGCCTCTTCATAAGAGACAAACCAACTCTCTCGTCAGAGAGGATGTTACATAAGGACTATGGTAGCAACGGTTCACTTGCAAAAACAAACAACTCTGGTCGTGAGTCTTTGGGGACTTGGTGCAAAGACGAACTGACTGACGGTAAACCGCCAGTCAAGAAGTAACTCTGACTCTTCGCGGCGGTCAGGCCTACGACCGTTCAGCTGACTAACTGCAGTTTCAGAGTAGTTGCATAAGTTAAGGCATAACCTGCTGCACAAGCCTGCATTGACGTGAAACATCTGTGTATCTTGTATGAATGTTACTTAGTACAGTGCAGTGATAAAGGCAGCACAGAGTCCATAGTGACCTGGATGCCTTGACAGCGCGGATGTACTCGTGCTGAAACTGTGGCGCAACAAACGTAGCGCCTACGTAGAGGGGCCGACCCCTGTACAGTGCAGTGCAGTAACACAGAGCCCACAGTGACCTGGGCGCCGTGACAGCGCGGATATACTCGTGCTGAAACTGCGGTGCAATAAACGTAGCGCCTACGTAGAGGGGCCGACCCCTGTACAGTGCAGTGCAGTAACACAGAGCCCACAGTGACCTGGGCGCCGTGACCGCGCGGATATACTCGTGCTGAAACTGCGGTGCAACAAACGTAGCGCCTACGTAGAGAGGCCGACCCCTGTAGCAGTAACACAGAGCCCACAGTAACCTGGACGCCGTGACAGCGCGGATATACTCGTGCTGAAACTGCGGTGCAACAAACGTAGCGCCTACAAAGAAAGACCGGCCCCTCCTTCGTCGATTAATAGGCCCCATTTCGAAACACATACATATCTGGGCGAGAATAAAAATTTTGGTCATGGATTTCGAGGAGACTGAAGCCAGGAATTACTGTACTGGCGAAGACCAGCGGCAATTTAACCGACCGACTGACCTAGCAGAGCCAGTGAGTAGATAGGGATACCATGAGTTGCTGTCATTGATAAATTGCGAGACATTCCCCAGCCGGTAACGGCGTAATAAGGAGAGCAGAAGAATCTCCATTGCTGGGAACCGTAACCGAGCAACGACTAGTGAAGATTATAATTTACTGAAACAGCTTGTGCTATATTGATTTTTAAGTGTGTATATTAGCGATAGTGTTATAGTTGCCTGTACTTATGAGTTATATTGATATATTGATATCCAATTATAAATCAAAATTCCATGTTTAGTTACTAACACCTTACGTTACGTATGATAACAGATCTGTGAAAAATGTGCAGTAGTTTCTGTAAGGGAGCGGTATAAACGTTATAATTTAAATCCTATTTAATGATGTACAGAACTATTAGGCTTATTTTGGACTGTATCCATCGTCTGGTATATAGAAGACAAAACACCACAACGTTTCGGAGACTGGATCTGTATCCGTCCTCAGGTGGATGGAGCAGGATAAACCTACTCAGTTGGGCCCGTTAGAAAGAGCTAGTCTCAATCACTGGACATGTCTGGGCGAGAATAAAAATTTTGGCCTTGGATCTCGAGAAGACTGAAGCCAGGAATGACTGTGCTGGCGAAGGCCAGCGGCAATTTAACCGACCGACTGTCCTAAATAAGCCTAATATATCTGTACAGCTTACACCATCATCATTATCCTTTCAAGTCTATCTATTTAATGACGTTATCCGTTGCGCTGACCACGCGACACTCTCTACCCGCTGAAGTTGACACTAACTTCGCCGACAAGCGGCGGTCGCTCTGTCGGTATATTTAGCTTGCGGACTAAAACCACAGAGTTTTCTTAATGCGTTCAAGAAACCTATTATCTGTTAGCTACGAGCGCTGAGAATACAAAGGGGAAAAGAATTCGTGTGGTAATTGTCTATTCCGGTGCTGATTACACCTTTGCAATCCTCTTGTACTCTGGGAAATGACGACACGTTCCTCCGAGACGTTAGTACCTATTTACCAAACTACACGGCATGACACCCAAGATGAAAATAATCTAGAACCAGTCTCTTGCACCATAACAATTATAGCAATGTTAATTGGCACTGAAGTGTAATTACTTCATACCTTGCTCTGAAACGTTTTCGAACGAATTGCGTGCACCTTGCACTTGCAGGCAAAAAAAAAAAAAAGACTAGGGCAGTGATCTCGGTACAGCAGTGCTGCCGAAGGCAGTTGCGCCTGCGCAAACTGGGGAATTGAACCGTGACACAATGGCAGTCCTCACAGCTAGTCTGCTGCTCGCACACCAGATGTCAGCTCTATATAAATACGTAATTTCAACCTATGTTTCGCCGAGTTCCGCTAGAGCGCACCACGATTCAAAATTACTATGTGTTGCAACCGGAAATCCCAGAATTTTATTAGAGAAAAAGGAATTACAAATCGTTGACATACATTCGAGAAGTGATGATTATTACAGTGACTCTAACGCCTAGGAGGAATACAGCGAAATATATTTCATAAATTACTGTCAGATTCCGAACCCGGACACAGAAGAGTTGAGGGACACCGAAATAAGAGCTCATTTTGAATTTAATATATATATATATATATAATTTTAAGCCTTGAAGCCGGATCAGGTCCTTAGAAGAACCTAAACCATGGATACCATGGTGGTATATTTGGGATAATATTAAAAGAAATGGATATCGTAATATAATTCCTGATCATGCATATGCTGTAAAATGTGACTTCATTAACAGAAATATAACTTACGATGTGTATCGTCTTATATAGAAGGGCATTACTCTTTACAGACTCTTGCGAAGCAGCTGGATCATAAAAGTTTTGGGCTATGTAAACCAGACAATACGTTAGCGTTACTTACCGAGATGAGGCCAGCTTGCCTTGCACATCCATATGTTATGTGTGTGTACAGGTGGTAGAAAGAGATTACTTTAAATTTCCGCACAAAGGCATCTGAGTCACGTTCGGAACTACAAAAGGTCACTGTCCCTAGGGCCCTGCCCCTCGTCGTGCTTTACAATGTTCTATTTGGTCTGCGAGGCTCCAGACACGGAAACAAAAATTGTACTCAATTACTATACGAGAAATGGCGTATAGGTAGACGACCTTGTCGGACTAAGGACATCTCTCTGAGACTTCAGGAACCATTAATCTCTCTTTATAATTATTCCGAACATGGTTTATGGGCCTGGCCATGATGATTCAGTCATACCGTGATAGTCTCCGCGTTCAAGCCCGGGCAGCTACTGCTGAAAGAGTAACACATCGAATGCACACACGTGTGTATATTTTCTGTTATATCATGCATCCCTACCCCGTTTAATTAAACGCCCCCCCTTGTATTTTCTACTGTGCTAAAGGAGATTACAATGCAATATCTGCAGTGTATAAGTGATAAAGAGAAAATATGTCGTGTCAACATGATTGGAACAAGTAGACTCAAGAAGCGATATCGAGATCGCTGTTTAAATATCTCTATTACCTACACCAGGGAGCCGGGATAGCTCAGTCGGTATAGCGACTGGCTATGGGCTGGACGACCGAGGGATCGGAGTTCGAGTCTCGGTAGGGTCAAGAATTGTCTCTTCTGCACGTCGTCCAGACCGGCTCTGAGGTCCACCCAACTTCTTATCCACTGGGTACCGGGGGTAAAGCGACAGGGGCGTGAAGCTGACCATTCTCTTCCAGCTAGTGCCGAGGTCAAGAAAATGTGGATCTATACATCCACTCCCCCATACGTCAGCACGCCTTCATGACGTGGTACTTAATTAGCTGTGCACAGGGACAACTTTACCTTTATTACCTACACCTAAAACATTTTATGCCAAAAATGAACTGAATTTTCTTTTAGAGTACAGTGAATCCAAAATCGTGACTTATGGTTCAAGCTACATAAGAAAATCTCTTTAATTTATGTGATAAGGGAACTTGAGTAGAGCAAAATATTCTATTCAGGAACATGACTGTCTGTACTATGGTAGATACATGCAATATTGACAATGGTTTGCTGTAATGTTAACCGAGATTCTCAGATTCTTCTGGTTACACGTGGTATAAGTTTCTGCTTGCTAGAATTAAAATCACCACCACCACCACAAGCCAAGTCACCGCATGCCCCATTGCAACATACTGAGAGATGTATGTAGTTAGTACCGTGTCGAAGCGATGGAGTCGGTCCTCCGACACTGAAGGCGCTAGCAGCTGTCTGTCCCGCCGACACTGCCTGCAGCCACAGTCACGGTACCCGAGCAACCTCAAGGGCGGCGGTGGCGGAGGAACTGGAGGCGGAACTGGAGACGACAGTTCCAGAGAGTCTGAGGAACTGGTATTAGCCCCACCGCTGTACTGCTGATGAACCTCCACACGAGTTGCATTGGCATTGGTGTTACCGCTGAAGATAAGCCTCGCCTCCCTGAACTCGGGCAGATAGCGCTGTTGTTGCTGCTGCTGCTGCTGCTGTTGCTGCTGTTGTGGTTTGGAGCAGCTGTTCTGCTGAGGCCGCAGAAAGTCGTCCAGGAGATAAAAGGACTGAGCACGTGTGGAAGAAGATGCAGGCTGAGACTGCTGTGGATGGTGATGGTGGTGGTGGGACTGCGGAAGAGATGCTGGTGGAATCCTCATCAGGGCTCCCAAACTGCGCCACCTTCGCTGTGGCCCCACGTCACATGGTGGCGTTTCCAAGACGGAGTTTTCTAGTTCCTCTTTACTGGCTCTGGCACGACGCGATCTGGGGGGCCACCACGCTTGAGGACTCAGAAGACTTGCGCTTTTCTTCATCAGAACACCTCGCAGAGACGTCGGGTTCTCTTTCTTTGTTCCCATCCTTGATCTTCCCACAATCGCATCCTCGTGCTCTGCCTCTTCCTCGAGGACCATGACGGAAGTGTTTCCGTACTTGACACTGAGTCGCATGGCCACGGAGGCAGCAGGACCCCTGCACCCCCTGGGGCGAACCACAAATCCATAATCAGTATCAGCACAGGCCGTTGGTAGAGTCGCTGTCCTCGCGCGATGTGGTCGTTCGCGGGTTGTACCACGGGACAAACAAGAGAAAGAGGCGGAATGGCGCAGGGGTGGCGCTGGGGGCGGTTGCTGTCCACTTCTTGTCATAGTTGCCATCTGCAATATGTCCTTGTATTCTGGACTCTTCTCTTGTTTGGAGCGACAAGCCACAACCAGCCACATCAGCACAGATGAAGTTGCCTGGAGCTACATGACGACTGCTCCATGGCGGCGTTACACTCTTACTGCGAGCTGTTAAACATGGTGCGGGGGCTGGGATCTGTAACACGGGTGTGACAGCAGCCATAAGCGGGGAGAAGGTGTGCTTTATAACTTGTACAAACTAAAGAAACAATAAACAGCATGAGAAAAGACAGTCATATGGCGCCAGGAAGGAAGGGTTTCTGGGTACGTGACAAAATCCGGTAAATAACGGGAAAGAAAATCGACAAACTAGAATAACAGCACATGCAGTTGAGATGGCAGAAGCAAGAACCAAGGTTCATGAAGGTCGTTTGTCTGCTTACGTACAGGGATTACATTCAGCCTTGTCCCACTCGCAGACATGGTGATAATTAGGTATGGATTAGAGAGGAGTCGTGCAAGCCTACTTCAAACTACCTAAGGAAGTCGAAGGCACAGAATTTATTTTTCGATTCATGAGAGTTTATATCGAAACGCACACTGTTCCTAACCATCATGATTTGGCCTAATTCTGAAACGATGAGCATAAGAGAATATATGATATTTGACTATACCAGTTCAATAAAATACTAACTGCAGCAAACTTCAATTAGTAGAGCCGAACTTCGGCATAGCTAACAGTTTGATCTCTACCGTCTACAAAATCTCCAAAATTCTGAAGATGGATTGCTATTTCCCTCTTTTGACTCCAGTAAAATTTTAGTAACTGTTATGTGGAAAAGTCTGTAAAATATATTTCTGTTACCAACTCTATATTTATTGCTATGTACTGCTTAGACAAAGATTTAATTTAATAGACGCCCTAGTTCATTATGATTCACATCAGTAAGAGACAGTCCTTCTCTCTGACATTCGTCTCTTGTGTTTAACTGTCATTCTTGCTGAGTTCTCGTATTGATCCGATTTCTACATTTGGAGTAAATTCTGCAATCGCTGCAATCACAAGCCCTAGCAAGGGAGATCCTACCTAGAAACAAAGTTAGAGTTGAACAGTAAATATAGTATATAAAGATAAATTTATTTCTGTGTTTAATTATTTAAGCACTCCACCATGAAGACATACGGGGAGTGAAGGTATAACTCCACCATTCTTGGCCTCGGTACAAATTGGAGGTGAGTGGTCAGTTTCCTGACCCGGCTGCTTTATTCCCCGGGTAAATCACCCCCAGTGCCCTTTGGGTAGGAGGTTGAGTTGGACGTAGAGCCGGTTTGGCTCCTATGGAGATGAGAAATACCTTGACCGTGCAGGGAATCGAACCCTGGCCGTCCAGACCGTAGGCCAGAACTACACCCACCGAGCTATCCCGACTGCAGTAAATATATCGAATAAGCTTGATAGTAATAAAATCAAAAGCAGTTTAAAAATATATTTTATCCTGAATATTCCAGGCCGATCGATAAAAGAATTCTTAAACGACTTAAGACCAAGTTTATAAGAAAACTTTCTGGCTGTCGCCCCCCCCCCAACTCATGCACATGCAGGTGGCACCGATGATTGCATCCTACGAAAATATATCACAAAGGTCCTTGTGGCCCTTACGGGATTCGGTTTCACACGTAAATACTCGTATCCTGATTAAATTATGTTAGTTAAAAATGTTAACATGCAGAGCAGTACGCAGAAGTACAATAATGCACGATGAAACATTAACATATCAGGTTAATGAGCACCCTGTACGTGCAGATACCACTTCTTTACAGTAATGAGTACTGAAAGGAAAACCAAGCAAAGGAAAGTTGCAAGCCCACACAACCTACACTCGCGAGACCCGGTTTACGGCCGCAACCCACATAGCTGATGGGCTGTACCACCATTTTCTTGTATAATTAACGTACATGTAAATTCGTGTAAAGAGTCCTTCATTGCATTATTAATTTAATTATTTTTATTGCTAGTGGGGTGGAACTAAGCCCCTTGTACTGCGGCCACTTCTGGCCTATTGTGCCAGCCCCAGATGATAGGTGAGGGTGATTGTGGAGCAATTGGTGGTATGAAGATTGGCAGGGGAAACCGAGGTACTCGGAGAAAACCTGCCCCAACGCCACTTTGTCCACCAAAAGTCCCACTTGACAAGACGGGATCGAACACGGGCCGCCGCGATGGGAAGCCAGCGACTAATCGCATGAGCTATGGCGCGGCCTTTTAATTTAATTAAGAGTATGTTCATGTGTAAGGACAGATAATAGATTCTTTGAGTATGTGAACATTTTCAAATATCTGGGAACGACACCAACAAATCGAAATTTGATACATGATGAAGTTAAGACCAGATTAAATTCGGTTCAGAACCTCTTGACTTCCCGTCTGCTGCATGAAAATCTAAAAATTAAAAACACACAAAACTATAAATTTGCCTCTAGTCTTGTATGGGTGTGAATATTTATCTCTGACATTAAGAGAAAACACAGAATGCGAGGGTATTTGAGAACCAGGGTAAAAAAAAAGAGGCATGGCGGCCCATAGGAGTGTAAAACGTCGAGGTTCCTATATTTTACAGGCAATCGGATCACAGATGGCTGTGAGGTTGTCAAGCCTTACGCGTCCGCCGCTCTTTACCCCCAGGAATATTCCTGGTACTCATTTCTGTTAGAGGCTGAGTCGACCCCAGGTTGCTGAGAATATCTGTACCGAAATGAGAAGATTCATAACTTTTATTATTCGCCAGATATAATTACAATGCTCAAATCAGGAAGAATATCTCCATGGCAACGATGGATCTTTCAAACGTGGTCAGAATATTTATATCGAATACCCTCGGTCCACGCAAAATAATAATTTTGTTATATTCATATTTGTGTGTGTGTGTGCGTGCGCGTGTGCGTGCGCGCGTGTGTAAACACCATTTATGTCACCCATTACATCAGCTCCTGAGAGTTTCCGAAACGTGGGATATTTACTAAGCACGGATCTGACGGTTCGCGAGAAAGGATTTCATTTCACCTATTTCACAGTTAGAAGCAGGAAAATTATTATTTGAAATAAACTTTCACCCCGTTCCTCGGATACGTATTTTGAATGCTTTCTGAACAACTATACAGTGTGTCGAGGTTCTGTTAGGACTGTGTTCATTAAAATACAAGACGTGAATTATTTTCAAAATTTCACTCTTTTTATTCAAAACAGTCTCCTTCTGAATCAGTACATAGCTGGAATCGATTGAAAAGTTTTCGAAAACAGTCACTGTACTCCTTTTGTGGAATCGCATTTAAAACTGCTGTACATTCCCTTTGGATGTCCTGGATGGTGTCGTGACGGTCTACTTTCTTCGCCAACTTAACGTTTGGGAACAACCAGAAATCTGCTGGAGCCAAAACTTCAAGAATCTTAACGCCACAACTCGCCAAGAGATGGCATTGCAGGGCAAGATTTTTAAAAAATGAGTCCTAATAGATCCTGGACATACCGTGTACATTATCAAGTACGAGTCTACCATTTGTGACAAAATTTTCCTTATTATTTTTTTAATTTTGATTATATCTCTAAAATTGACACTGATGCTCTTGCAAGGGTGTGTGTACCACGCCGTGAATTTGTGCATCAATACGTGCGTGGGCTGCGCTTCTACGCATTACAGATTCAGCAATACTTCGGGGAGAACCGTCAGTTTCAAGTTCCAGCAATTTTATTCCTAGCGAAATATCCTCCCATTGTACAAATTGACCCTAGAGGCGGCCTAGAGTCTAGGCCCTAGACAATGTCAAACAGTAAAATTCCTGTCCCTGCAAGAAATCGAACCCCGTTCATCCAGGCCATAGACAATATTTTTAATCAGCTAGAGCAATTTTGTCTTTTCACCGATTTTTTGTCGTTGATACTCTATAGAAAATGGAGACCGGATAGCTCGGTCAGTACAGCAGCAAGCTAAGGGCTGGACGGTGGGGTTCAATTGCTGGCAGGGGCAAGATTTTTGTCTATTCTACAGCGTCCCGGGCTCTGGGACCCACACAGCCTTCTATCCAATGGGTACCGGGGGCTCTTGCCCCGGAGGTAAATCTGCTGAGGTGTAAAGCTGACCACTCCCCTCCATCTGGTGTCGCGGTCAAGAATGATGGAGCTATACATCCACTTCCCCATGGCGTGGTAGAAGTAAGTAAAGCTATCTCTGTACCAGGCCGTGAAGGCCCGTAGGGTTGTGAGACGTTGAGGGTCCCACACTATCTAGACAATCGGCTCAAAGATGGCGGTAAGGTTGTCAGCCTTACGCGCCGGCCGCGCTTTACTCCACAGGAAAATTATTTAATTAATCCCTGGTACTCATTTCTGTTAGAGGCTGAGTAAACCCCAGGGCCTAGTGCGGCTGGAAGGATTAGGTCAACTGAAAAAAAAATCCAGTGACCTCATCAGGACTTGAACCCGCGATGGTGCTTGTATTATTAAACACAAGGACAACTTTACTTTTTACTCCATATCAAACGTTTTAGACTGAGGCTTCCTTGACGTGAATACAAAATGTTTAGCCCCCCCCCCGCCCTATATAAGTCGATCTAAATCGTGATTTAGCAGTTTACAAATTAAATGCCAGAGAACATTAATGATACGATGAAATTCTTCTTCTACTGTAGTATAAGTCTGTAACTTAATATTGCAAATTTACTTGTGCAATTGCCCCTCAGAACAGTATTCTCATGCCCAATTTTAGGCTGCTTCCAAAAAATACGGCATGTCTCCCTGGGAAGTTGCGACTCCCCACTTTGGGAAACGCTGCTCTGTATTACAATAATATTAAACCGAATAACATTATGACCGGAGCCAATTTCCCCGAATTCTGTCTCATTAAGTCTGTTTATAGGTATGAAACTGTTGGAGTCTGCGCTTAGCTGGTTTAACGAGGGGCTGTGCCTCTTTAAAACACTGTACTTAGCTACTTACACGAGGGGTGCGTTATATAAATGTATCTTTCTTTTTCGATATAAAAATATCTGCCGTGTGGAAAGTGCTTAAAAATCATGCGCTTAAATTTTGCTATATTATATCCATACTCCATAGGGGCATAATAATCCCATGTGTTCTTCTAAGTTATTTATTTCGTATCATGTGGAATCAAGTTTAAAATGAAACGGAATGTTTAGCAAGCA